TACTCCAATATAGGCCTAACGTGAATGGTGTACAGGGTCCTGAATGATTCTTTACCGAGATGTTGGAATGCTGTTCTTAGGTTTGCTAGGCACCCGTATGCTGCAGCAGTTATTAGGTTGATATGTGCCTCAGGAGATGTGCCTGGTGTTATACTCGCCCCAAGATCCTTTTCCTCGAGTGAGGTTTGTAGTCTCTGGCCCCCTAGACTGTACTCTATCTACAGTCTTCTTTGCCCTTCCCCAATTTTCGTGACTTCGCACTTGGTGGAGTTGAACTCCCAGAGCCAGTTGCTGGCCAGGCCTGCAGCCTGTCCAGTTCCCTTTGAAGTTCTGCCTGGTCCTCGTCAGATTGAATTCTTCTCAGCAACTTCACATCTGCAAACAGGGACACTTCTGAGTCTATTCCTTCCGTCACATCGTTCACAAGTACCAGATACAGCACCAGTCCTAGGACTGACCCGTCTGTAGATTAAATACCACATTTGGCTCCACTCGGAGGACAGTGAGAAGTGAGCTTCTACACAAGATGGGCAACAAGCAGCAACTTCACTCTGACTGTATCCTTCTCCAGAACATCACTTCATATTAGATCATTTATTCCTAGGACGACTAGTTAGGAATATGTTCATACAACATAATAAAATAATATAAAGGTTTTCAAATAAGCTGATGTAGGTAACAGCTCTTGCTTGTAAATGAAGTTAGGAAACTTAAGGTAACCTTGTGTGTATAAAAAAAAAAAAAAAAAAAAAAAAAAAAAAAAAAAAAAAAAAAAGTTTCATACAGGGAAAGGGTGACCCAATGGAGGAAACATTCATAACAATTTCCTCCTTCCCTAACACGAACTCATTAAACTTACCTTGTTAAAATTAACTGAAATTGCATGGAGGCTTTTGAAGGGCACATCAATAGTAAGCAAGAGATGCAGGGGGTTTTCAACTGGTGGCTCTACCACTGTTTGTTCTTTATCTTTCACATGATGTGGCCAGATCACAAATTCATAAACCATTTTCCTGTGAATAAACATATGTAAAATATATTTAAAACTGAATTAGAAATTTCTGAAAACTTCTCAAAACAAAAACTTCAGAACATAAAAATGAACACTGTACCTTGCAGAATAAATTACATGCAGTTTGGGGTAGAAGATGCTGTATTTGGCAGCAATAATTAAAGGGCCAATTTCTAAGGACTGAAGTTTAAGGGACAATGGCTTTAGACAGACGCCACTACTCTGCTGCTGCTGCTGCTTTTGTTCGCCTCCATTGGTCTCAGAGAAAGGTATATAATCTAGAGAGAAAGGAAGCTAGCTAAATGCCATGAACATAATTTTGTTTATACTCTGCAACATTTTTTTTTTAAATAATGTTCCTCAAATTCTAGAACCTATAATCATAAAACTAATTAATGCTTTAAGGGTAATGAGCCCCAAATCTCAGCTACTGCAAGAACCACCATCACATTATTTACCACATCCCTCCCTCACCAAATCTAGGCACCCACCATCTCCACAAGAAGCCACTTTCTCCCTCCCTTCCCACAGTATCCACCTGAAATATGGGGAAAATTAGCTAGGTTGTGTTCATGACCACTTTTCCTTCTACAATGTGTCTACATGTGATGTCACCTACACATGATGTGATGTCACTTACATGTGATGTCAATCTAGCTTGTACTAGTGATGCTGTTTTACCTCTCCTAAGTCTTAGCATAATTGTACATTTTAAGCTAAATTCTATATATTAATACTACAAGTAATAAATAAATCATGAAAGTTTAATGCTTATGCATGACTTCTAAAACCCCCTGTACATTTTTCTTTACAATACATGGTCACATTTTAAAACTTTTCTAGCATGGCCATCTGTTCACGCTTAACATTACACGAGTGACATCTCCATACAAACTAAACTGCCATAAATAATTGTTATAGCTACAGGTAAACACTAAACATGGGGGTTACATAGTACTTTGAGAATGGAAGAATCTGATTTAATCTAAGGAAATGAAAGACAGGGCCAAGTCCTTTGATCAAGAGCCCCTCACCAGCAATGAGCTTCTCTTGAAGGGCCATATATTTATAGCTTATTTTTTGTCTAGCAGTGACCATATCATTTAATCCACTGATCTTTTAACATTCTCCACAGACATTTTTCTTGATATACCATTATGATGACCAATAGAACTGGTAGTTGCTATTTGGTCTGCTTTACTTCAAACACTCTTGCTAGTGGCTTTTGAATTTGTTTGAAAAGATCAAAATTATATTCAACATAGTTTACTGCAAATTTAGCCAAGGTATCATTACTATCCTCCTAGTGACCTACAAGAGGGAATGTACAAAAGTTTAATTACAATCCTTTTGTCAACAAGTTGTGTGCATCTGTATCCAGCCTTGTACATAAGCATGTTAGTCAGACCTCAGGCTATTTACATACTACAAGTAATGGGGATAGGCAGTCAAACTAGTTTCTCATAAGTAGGCTTAGGCACAGCTGCTTTATCATCATATTTAGGGTGAAGGGCTAAATGAGCAGGAGTCGTACAGCACCTGGAGGCCATGAGAAGCCATCAGTTTTGATCCAAGGAAAGGGAGGATAAGGTCAATTACTTTTATCAAGAACTAGCCAGTATGAGGTACCTCCTTGAGGGGAAGGCAATGGCTGCACTACTGTACTACACCACAGCTTGAGTTACACCTGTATGTTCTGTATACTAGTGACATCCACATACTTCACAAAAGTTTTAATATTATAGCTTTTATAATACCTGATGTGCATTAAAAAAACTGATACAGGTCATGGGCTCTTAATCCAAAGAATTTGAGTTGCCCTTCATTTCCTTTAATCTACTATGATGGCCTCCCATTCCCCCAGGATACTTTATGACCCCTATGAGTTTACCACTCATCCTATATTGATGATTATGATTGTTTTATGAAAACAGGCCTTCACTTTATTCATGTCAATGCAAGATCACTTCTTCCTAAATTGGCAGAGATTAGGATTCTAGCTAACAAAATTAGGGCGGCAGTTATAACCATCTCTGAATCTTGGTTGGATGATACGGTGACTGACGACGAGGTCAAAATAGAAGGTTACAATATAAAACGCTTAGATAGGAACAGAAAGGGTGGTGGAGTATGTGCCTACATTAGAAATGACTTAGCTTACAACCCAAGACCTGATTTAAATAACAATAAACTGGAGATTCTATGGTTTGAAGTGCTGCTTCCCAAGACCAAACCCATCTTAGTAGGAACTAGTTACCCCCCTCCTACCAGGACCAGTTCTTAGAAGACTTTTCCAGAGTCTTGTCCGGAGTTGAAAACAATTGCGAGACAAAAATACTGGGCGACTTCAACATCTGTTTTCAGCAGCAAAATAATGGGCTATGCAAAAGGTATAAGCAAATTCTAGGATTAAAATAGTTACACTCAACTAATTAATACACCAACCCGGATCACACAGTTCTCAGACCCTAATTGACCACATACTCTGTAACCCGTGCTGAGAACATTAGTCAGTCAGGCGTCATTACCACAGGTCTTAGTGATCATTTCATCATTTACTGCACCAGGAAAACCACTAGGGATAGGTTTAGGCCTAAAACAGGACAATAAAAATGAGGTCAACTAGAAACTACAGTAAAGAAACACTGGTAAATAGGCTACACAATTGTGACGGGGACAGAGATAAGTTGCACGGACGCAAACGATGCCTGGGAAAAAATTCAAAACAATGTTCATTACCATCCTTGATAATATTGCACCAGTTAGAGAGGTTAGGTTTAAAACGAAGAATGAACCCGGGATGAATACTGAAATATTAGAATTGAAATTCAGAGACCAGCTGCAAAAAAGATTTAAAGCAACAGACAGGATATTGCAGCACTAAATGAATTCCAAAAGGGGGGAGGAACAGAGTACAGAGACTTATAAAAGGAGCAAAGGCAAAGCACTATTGCTCAAAAATTGAAGATTTAATAAGCTTTAACCCCAGAAAGCTCTGGCAACAACTAAAACAGTTGGGGTATAGCCCAAAGCCAGTAGATAGGTCTAACATAGTACTCATATCGATAATGGGGTATGCCACGAAACATCTAAGGTGGCAAATTGCTTTAAATTCCTACTACACATCTGTTGAAATCAACACTAGTAAGTAACTACCAGCTGCATCAAATACCTTTAACACAGACTCTGATAGTTTCAAAATACTATACCATTAAAGGGGGTAACCCCAAACAGTTGTCAACTAGTAAGGTTATCTCATGACTTTATTCAAAAAAACTAAGCAGGTTAAACCCAACTAAATGCACAGGCCCTGATAACATCCGTCTAAGTTCCTAAAAGATGGTGCTTCTGAACGGGTCAATCCCTATTGCTCACATAATAAATCTATCAATCACCATTTAATACCGTACCGGAGGGGTTCAAGGAGGCCAGAGTTACTCCTATCTTCAAGAAAAATAGTAGGTCTGATGTAAGCAACTATAGGCCTGTTAGTATACTCCAGTATAATATCTAAAATTCTAAAAGAGGGCGGTGTATTCTCAAGTAGTTAAGTACCTTAATGACAACATTCTCCATAGCTATCACTCGGGCTTTAGAAGATCCTACTAAACCCGGGACACCTCCCTTATTAATTGATGGATTACCTGAAAACAGAAATGTCAAAGGGGAACCTCATAGGTATGGTAACCTTAGACCTGAAAAAGGGCCCTTCGATACTGTCAACCACAAATAATATGTAAGAAACTTCAAGCTATGGGTATAGGTTCTGTAGACTGGTTTAAGTCCTACCTTATCAACAGGAGACATAGTCAAAATCACAAAACGGAATCAGAACCCCTGCCGTTTAACATTGTGGAGTTCCCCAAAGGTAGTATTCTGGGTCCCTTATTATTCTTATGTTATGTCAATGATATGCCTATCAGTGTCAAGTGCAAAAACTCTACTTTTATGCAGAGGACAGTGCTCTGTTAGTGTCAGGTAAAGACCCACAAGATAGTTTGCTAATGTTTTAACACTGGAAATGGAGTCCTGCAGCAAATGGTTAGTAGACAACAAACTATCATTACACCTGGGAAAACTGAAGCCATTCTCTTTGGCACGAAACAAACTGAGAAGGGGTTTAAATAATTTTAATGTTCAGTGTAATGGGGAGCCCATCACTTTGGTTTCATCGGGTGAAATATCTGGGAATCCCTTTGACCCATGCATGTCGGGAAAATTGATAGGGAACAGTGTAGTAAAGAAAGCGAATGCCAGACTGAAGTTCCTGTATAGACAACACAGTGTCAAACCTACTGAGGCTCGCAGGGACCCTATGTCTAGCCCTTTTTAAAATGCCATATGGATTACGCTTGCTCTTCATGGTACTCTGCCTTGACAAAAAAACTGAAAGATAGACTGCAAATCACCAGAACAAAATCGTAAGATTCATCCTGGGGCTGGGCCCAAGAGAACATGTAGGCCAGGATAAAATTACAGCAGTTGGATATGCTGAGTTGAAGACAGTAAAACAACTGAAGCAAAATTTCATGTTTAATAAAATTGCTCAAAAAACAGTGTCAGAATATCCTGCGGGTCAATTTTGTAAAGGTTGGGAACCAAAGCAATCATAGTACTAGGGGGAGGGAGCACAACTTTGTAGTAGTACCCACAGTCATTGGCCAGGCATCAAACACCTTTTATTGTACAGCAATAAAGGAATGGAACAGACTACCCGCACATGTCAAAGCCAGTCATAGCATGAACCAGGTTCAAGAAGAGTGCCAAAGGTGTTGATGAATGTAGCTGCAGAAAGGGAGGGGAATGATTTTCTATTTTTTAGCTAACATACGTGTAAATTTTACCTTATTCCTAGTAATGACCCTCATATTGTAGATAGTCTTAATGACCCTCGTGTAGTAGATAGTCTTTTTATTATGATAATAAGATGTTATCTTCATTGTAGAATACTAAGAAAATATTATAACCTTTATATTATAATAAGGTAAAAGGACCCCAATGGAAATAAGTCACTGTCTGACTTTTTTGGGTTATCCTAGGTTCTCTACACATATGCTGCTATGTATGATAATTCTATGTAACTATTTGTGTATACCTGAATAAACTTACTTACTTACTTATTATGAAATAAATATTGAAAAGGAAATAGTGTCTTTGCCCATCAGGCTGGTGGAACAGCTGATCAGTCACATGACTGCCAATTCTATTAGTTAAATACTAGCAACCATCAAGCTTTGAATATGGCCTAAACTGTGCAGGACAGAACTGCATTAAAATTGCACAATTTCTGTGAAATCTAACTAGAGCTTCTTAATTATGATTGAGTGGATATTCCTAGAGCTAGACCAAACCTGCACAAAATCTTGGCACCCTATTTCCACACCTTAACACAAGCAAAGACTCAAGAGACAACAGAACACCAATGAAGCAATTAGCTTCTGTATTTAAAAGACTGAAGTAAATCTTTAACTTACATGGATGATTTACATATTCATGTGGTATTTTTGTCAGCAAAGCTATTATCAATTATTATTGTTGTTTGTTGAAATAAATCCTTTTGAATTTAGCCATTTATATTAGCATGCTAAAGACAGTACAGTTTTATGAAGCTAGTTCCTATTGTTTTAAAGGCCCGAGAATATTCCTCTCATTTGGGCAAAAGGTCTTTAGTAATGGGCTATATAGGAAACAGCAGAAATCTGAGCTATTAATAAAGGAATCACTGATTAATGAGGACTGCAAGAGTGACCAACTATATTATCATCCACTGAGTAGGATCTTCCTAATATTACAAGTGTGTAACTGATTCTCTTTCCACCCTCCCCTCCTTCACAAGTAGATGTGCAAATTATATAGTAATTCCTATAAAAACTGGGAATTAGAGGGGCCTATCTTTCCTACCACAGATCAATATTATTTTGTCACTACCTAGAAATTTCCTGTTGGTGTTGCAAAAGAAAAGCCATTCCACCAAGATCAAGCATGTCATGTTTACTGTTCAAGTTCTAAAGCACTGTTTTCCTTCAATATATTTAAGACTACTGCAGACCCTAATACTGTATATGGTATAAGCTATATGGTAACCAGTTTCTTAATTATAGGCTATATTCTACATATGGGAACAAGAGGGGTACAATCTGAAACTGCTGTTGACTGGGGCCTCTAGCTGCCTAGTACCTTAGCTAGGAAATGGCCTAAGAAAATGGTTCATTTAGAGCCATAGGTAGGGAATGGCTTAGAGAAACAGTGCACCTAGTACACTAGCTAAAGAAAGGCATAGAGAAAACTGTAGACATAGGGGGGCACAAATCAAAAAGTGGGAAGGAAGATGATTTACTAAAATTTCTGGTGCAAGTGAGCTCCATAATTCATGAGGGAGTGGGGGGGGGGTTAAAACCCCTGAGTTATCTGAAGCTGCAGATAACAGTAAATTTAGTATGTCCAAATTAAAATATTTCTTGTCATCCTGGTTGCCTGGAATGCCCTGGCATGATAGTGGCTTTCCTTGTACTTGTTAAACCAAAATTGCAATTACACTTTGTAACCTTCACAAGGAAATAAAATCTATCTTTAAATATTGCTCTAATCTGCTTAATATTAATATTTAAAGGCATTTTGAATGAAATCCTATGGTTAGTTTCCAATTTAGGGGTCATGCATTAAAGCAAGCAGACAATGGGATTAGTCTGCCCGAAATGCCCCGGCATGATAGCAGCATTCTTTGTATACTTAAACCAAAATTGTAATTAGACATTGAAACCCTTACAAAGAAAAAATCTTTATTCTTTATCTTTATTCTTTGTTTTAAGAAAAAGTACAACTAATCCTTCAAATGGTCTCAGTAAAAATTGAAACTCCCAGATTACAAAACATACAAATCCCAGAGTTTAATGGTACAGTAGCTCTGCAATTTATGCTGTTCTGCAACGCTGACGATCAACCCTCTAGAACCAATTACAGTACTTAGGAACACTGACTTGTCACTATCACAGCAAATAAAACTGAACAAATTTTGAGTTTAACAAATGCATTAATACTTTGTGTATATAGTCTCTCCTCACTTCACAGAATTCAGTTTCTAAGACCATGTCAGTAAACAAATTCATTGCTAAGCAAGGAGCATACTTTATTGGTAGTAGGTTCGTAACAACCGTCTTTGATATTCTAATATCAAATTTGCACCATTTATGACATTTTTAGTTATTTTTAAATGTGTATACAGTAGTGTACTGTATGTTGTAATAAACAGAATAGAGGAAATCAGCTCTAATATACAGTGGTACCTCGGGATACAAATTTTTTTTCGTTCCAGAAGGCTGTTCGAGTGCTAATACAGAACAAATGTGTTCCAATAAGGCATAAAGTAAATCAGATTAATCCATTTCAGACCCCCGAAAATACACTTACAAAAGCACTTACATAAATAGTTACATAACTGTTCGTATCCCGAGGTACCACTGTACAGTGGAACCTCAGTTTTTGCTTTCCCTGGTTTTCGTTGAATTCGGTTTTCGACAACTTTTCTCGTCAAAATTGTCCCAGTTTTCATTCATCACCTCGCTTTTTGTCAAGTTAACAGTGGTCCGCCGTACCAAAAGTCCGCTCATGCCCACACAAAGCATCCCACATATTCTGAGTCAGTCTGACTCTTTCTCGTTGGTAGTGGGTGGCAGTGATGGTGGCAGTGATGGTGGCAGTGATGGTGGCAGTGAGGGTGAGGGTGACAGTGAGGGTGACAGTGAGGGGGGTTTTGTGAGGGTGGTAGTGAGGGTTTTCGACGACTTTTCTCGTCAAAATTGTCCCAGTTTTCATTCATCACCTTGCTTTTTGTCAAGTTAACAGTGGTCCGCCGTACCAAAAGTCCGCTCATGCCCACACAAAGCATCCCACATATTCCGAGTCAGTCTGACTGTTTCTCGTTGGTAGTGGGTGGCAGTGATGGTGGCGTGAGGTGAGGGTGGTAGTGAGGGTGGGGGTTGGTAGTGAGGGTGGGGGTGGCAGTGGGGGTGAGGGTGGGGTTGGCGGTGGGGGTGGCGGTGGGGGTGGCGGTGGGGGTGGGGTGGGGGGGTGGCGGTGGGGGTGGTGGCGGTGGGGGTGGCGGTGGGGGTGGCGGTGGGGGGTGGCGGTGGGGGGGCGGGGGGGGTGGCAGTGGGGGTGGCGTGGGGGTGGCAGTGGGGTGGAGTGGGGGTGGCGTGGGGGTGGCAGTGAGGGTGGTAGTGAGGGTGGTAGCGAGGGTTTTCGACGACTTTTCTCGTCAAAATTGTCCCAGTTTTCATTCATCACCTCGCTTTTTGTCAAGTTAACAGTGGTCCGCCGTACCAAAAGTCCACTCATGCCCACACAAAGCATCCCACATATTCTGAGTCAGTCTGACTGTTTCTTGTTGGTAGTGGGTGGCAGTGAGGGTGGTAGAGATAACCTCTCCTCCCTCTCCCCTCCTCGCCGTCTTCCATACACCAAGTCTTCAGTAAAGGTAAAAGTTATGTTAAATGTTCATTCATCAATTTCATTAGTCTTTTATATTTATCATTGTTTTCTTTATGTAAAACTATAGTTATTCTCTATAAAATGTATTTTTTGTTAATACTTTTGGGTGTCTGGAACAGATTAATTGGATTTACATTATTTCTTATGTGAAATATTGCTTCAGTTTTCATCAGACTTTCTGGAACGAATTAATGACGAAAACTGAGGTTCCACTGTACATTATTTAACCCTTAAACTGTCCAAACAGATTTACGTTCACATGCGTAGTGCTCCAAAAGTAGATCTACGGTTTTTACATATTTTCAAATAATAATAAGTTTTTTTTACACTTTCAAATGTAAACAAAAAATTACATTTTTTTTTACATACTTTCAAATGTTGAAAAAACGTAGATCTACGTTTGGACAGTTTAAGGGTTAAGCATGTATGCTGGCCAGAGAGCCCAGTGTAAGTCCAAGTCATTGGTAAACGAGTACACCACAAAGTGAGGAGGCTGTATTAGTATTTTTTAAGCATGGAGCACTCAAATGTTTGGTTGAGCTGATGAAGGACTACACATTTAATACTTACCATTTTTAAGGTTGTATATATATATATTTTTTTTTTTTAAGATTTTTACCAAAGCTAAATCTTTCTTCCTTAACCCAATGTCATTTAAATTTTTCTTAATTAGTTTATAAATTATTGTAATTCTATAGTGGTATAAAAAATTATCTTATTAAAATGACAAAAGGAGTTTTACCCTTACCTTTTTCTAGTTGTTTTTTCAAGAGTAAATCATAGGTTGCAGTTTTCAACATGTTCTCAGTAAAACTTTCCCTTTTTTCAACCTTGGTTCCATGACTGCATACTTGAATTTGTTTTGTAATTTTATTTTCTTGTTCTTTTAGAAAATTTCCAAACCATCCTAAATTTTGGCATCTGCATGAATCTTTGAGAGTGTGGTAAAGCACGAGGTAGGAATCGTCACAACTACGAGGCCTGTCAACTTTAAGGGAGGTCATCTCAGTTAGTGTGTGAATGTCTGATTCAGAATATGATCTTTTTATTTTAATTCTGAATGAGTGATTATCCATGATCTGAATTTCGTTAACCAATTCTGGTACACTGTTATACTTCTCAACAGAATTACCTGATTTGGCTATTTTTAGTACTTTATCTTGGTTATCCTCAAATTTCCTCTTTGAATTGTTAAAAAAACTTTGAGGTGGTTCATAACTGGGATCGTTGTCATTTGTTCCACCTGCCCGTCCACCCCTTCTCTTACGACCCCTGCCTCTTGTACGCCCCTTTCCAAGGCTGGTCCTCCTGCCTTGAAACTTTGAACTTGTAGATTGCTCTTTTCGTGCCAGCGAGAGCCTCTCTTTTCGCTGGAGAAAATCAAAGCACGTTTGACAGTTGTTAACTGTGCACACTTTAACATGCTCTCTATAAATAACACCTAAATGAAGTCTTAATGCTTCGGTTCGTAGAGCTTTCAAGTCTCTAACAACAAAGTAACCACGACGAAGTGCCTGTGGTGGAAGATCAAGTAGTTTGAGAATAGTTTCAGGCATACCTGGCAAATGTGATTTTAATTCATCCCTGAGGAGGTAAGTTAACTTTTTTTGAATGAAATCAGGATATGGCTTTTTTTTTAATAGCCTTTGTCGAAGACTATGGACATATTCAGATTTGCAGTTCTGCTCACTAGTTAGTTCAACATTGCTATCTCTATTGTCTTGTGATCTTACATTATTTTTTATATTACTGACAATATTGGACTTGGTGTTAATTAATATTTTAACTGGTCCCGATGTATTAGTGTTAAAAATGACAGGAACCTTTGCTGTTAGAAATGAGGCAGACTTCATCTGAGCACTTTTGGAAGCATCTGGATGAACGTAACTTTTCAGACAATATTTTGTGACTGGTGATTTCCCAGTACAACTGCTAATTTTACCTGAATTTACAGGATTAGTTGCACAAAACTGTCCTGATGTCTGCCATGGTAATATGGTAGAAACCAATGAAGGTGGACCAGACCTTGATACAAACTGTGTACTTGAACTTGCTGGGACCATCATGTAAACTGACTCCATGGGCGAGGTTTGAGGAATAGTTACTTGATACATTGGCTGGGTTATAACTGTGGTGGGAACGAGTTTTCCTGCATCCTGGGAAAAAATAACAGTATTTCCCTGTTGTGGAATATTAGTTACCAGGGAAGGTGTTTGAGATTTAACTGAACTTGTGATTGTGACAACTTTATCCTGTGAGAAACTTTTGTTTGTAGAGGGAAGAATGTGTGCAGGTCTGGTTGAAGGTATGCCACATTTTGTAGCTACTGGTGGCAAGAATGATGCAATACTTGTTGGTGCATTTTTTGGAATAGATATGCTCAAACCTGTTCTTCCAACAGGCAAAACAAATTTTGAAGATTCAACTGTATTATATGGGACCACAAATTTAGTAACTGATGCAGCTATACTGTTTGCAAAAATGGGTGTAGGAGCCATAGTAGAGATAGGCTTTAATTGTGAGCCAATATCATTACTGTTTTCCACTTTATGTCTTCTCTTGTAATTATGCATATTTCTCTCTCTATTAAACTGTTCAGGATTGAATTCTTCTCTCCTAGGCCAAGAAGTTGAACCATCCTGATTCTGCAGTCGTCTATCTTTATCAAGAACAAAGCGTAGTGGCCTATGCTGTTTCTGTAATTTATTTTCTACTACTTGTCCATGGACAACACATTTAATAGGTCTGTTAGCTGGTCGAGTCTTAAATGATACAGTTCTTTTAACTTTATTACCTTCTAATTTAGATTTTGCATTCTCAGATTTGTTAGCAACTTCAGGATCTCTAGGGAGACTACCAGATGATTTTGGCAATGCATCAAGTATTCCACAAGAGACAACTTCCTTCTTTGCTACTGCAACAGTGTGCTTAATTACATTTCCTAATTCATCTGTTTTAGCAGTTGAAGTAAAGGAACCAGTATCTAGAGTTTTAAATATATCATCTATTAATGTTTCAGAATTTGTGGTATCTGCCAGAAGTCCTAAACTGCAGTCAGTGTTTGTAGCAGATATATTTCCAGCAATCGAAGAATATACACACGATTTGTTACTATTATCAACTTCAATGCCACACTGCTCAACCTCTTGAAAAAATGAATCCAATAAGTTATTAATTTCATTAGAATTATCAACATTTTTTGAATCAAAATGCTCTGACATACTACTAGGTTTATTTGAAGGTAGCATCAATTCATCAGATTTTCCACTCTTAGATATATATACATGATTATTTACATCTTTCTCCAGCATAGAAGTTGTATTATTAACATCAGAATTAATATCAGATGTCAAGACATTTAACAAGAGCTCGTCTGAATGTCCAGCAGATAAACCTTCTGATGAGAGCTCAGGCATTGATAATACTTTAGAAGTAGAAAGACTGTGGCAATTGGAATGCACTTCATTTTTTGCAACTTCTAATACTTTTTCTGAGCATAATTCATTTTCCAATTTTGTCATAATTTTGTTTTCTTGGTCAAATCCTAAAATACTTGAAGAAAAGCTATCATCAGCCTTGTAAGACTTTTCGACTAATCTCCCTTGAACTGTATCTGCATTTACTTCTTTGTCTATATAATGTTTGAGCAAATCATCAATACATTTTTCATTTGTACTTTCATTAAGTGGTAAGCTACAACCTTCCAAGGTTACAGAAATATCTGGCAAATTACAATAATTGCTATTTCCATTATCCAAATACATTTTGTTAGTATAAATTTCTTTATGGCGAGTAGGTGAACTAAAATGGGACACAACTGATGGTTTTGGTGTCTGGAGGCTCCATACTACATTACTAGCATGGCTACAAGAAGTCCTTGCTCCTTCAGAGGCACTTTCTGTCGATACTCCCATATTATTTATAAGTATACATTTGTCTGTCTTATCTATTTGATCTTTTTTCATTACACATGTTTTAATGTGCATTTTTTCTGAGCATGAAATGACAGACAGAATACTACTATGAATATTTTTCTTTCCATTAATTAAATTAACAGGATCATCTACAACAGAGAAGTGCTCTGGTATATCTATTTGCTCTAAAAACTTCAACTTGTGATCATTTTGCTCTACTGTCCTCTGGCAGCCCTGTCAAAACAGTATCTTTTAAGTCCCTCAGGGAACCATTATTAGTGTTACTTGCACTAACAGATTTAACTGATTGACAACAATTTTGCAGCTGACATTTATCTGCTGTGTTACTAGAATTTGAAAATGTGGAATCTTCATCCATAGAAGGAAACAAACATTCATCATCAGAAGTGGAATTTCTTCCATACCTTGATTGTAGCACAGATCCCTTAACAGATCTTCAATACAGTCGTTATCATCTACTGATGAAAAACAGCCATTCAGTGAATTACTACTTTTTTCACTAGATCTCTGGATATTCTTTTGATTATTATTACAGCTATGTTGTTTACCAACACTGGGTTTGTATACTTGTGAACTAGTGTCTTGCTGATTAGTTTTAAATAATTCAGGACTTTCCTGCACCTTTTTAATGCTACAGCAGCCATCTTCTAAGTATTTAACCTGATATGTATCATCTTTAGATTGTGCTAATGAATTTGTCAAGTTAAATACCTTATTTACTGGATTTGGATTCCATTTTTCAAAGTCCTGAGTGGAAACATTTTCAGAAACTGCTAAGTTATTTAAACTGGATACAACATATTTAGGCTTATGACATCTGGTATGAACAAAGGACTTCTCAAACACTATGTCTGACTCTCTCTTTCCTAACCTAGAATCACTGAAGGTCTTTTCTTCCTTAATTCTTCTTGATGAAGTTAACTTTACTATTTTGTTTCCAAAAGATTCAAATGAATAGTGCTGGTCTTCAAGCTTTCCCTTCAAACTCTCCTTTTCATTTTTGTCATCCAGTACTTTTACGAGTAATACTTTATCAGGGCCAAATATGTTAACCTTTTCAATGCTACTTTGAAAATTATCATTAATCCTAGGGCTAGAAGACCCCTCCATTACTGCATAATTAGGTTTGCTTTTAAGTTTACAGCTGGGTAGACTTTTGTTGCCTTTATATACCGCAGCCTTAATTGTACTGCTTGCACAGCTTAGAGAGACTGCTTTGTTTCTTAACACAGCTTTATCTTTTTCCTGGCTTTTATAATGAGGTATAGAATGAATGTCACTAGACTTACTGCCATTCCTCAATGAACTCATAGCTGGTGCATTACAAATCAAACATATCTAAATGTGAGCAATAACTTTTTACAATTATTGGATATCATCCACAGTTTCCTCTTAATTTCAGCATATAACATCACTACAGAGTTTCAGGAGGCTCTTCATTATATTCTGGAAAAGCATGCAGACAAATATTTAGATAAATCCTTATGAAATTCCCACAATATTTTCTTTGAGATCACTTACTTCTATTAACTTAATACACTGAGCATATAACCTGCTCAAAGCATTTTCAACATTTTAATTTTTATGTGGGTACCGTCAAGATAAAGCACTTTTTTTTTTTTTTACTTTTATTTTGACTATTCAGTGATCATCTATCTCAACTTCTAGTGCACCACATGAAGTCGAATGCATTTAGTGATCTGAAATTAAGAAAGTGAGCTAGTATCAGTATTACAGCACTGATATGGTAAATATATTATGATACATACACTCATCTAGAGCATTAAACATTTTCACACAATTCTGTCTGATATTCTTCATATTCCACAGAGATCTTAACTATTTGCAGAAAACTAAATTATGAATACAGTGTCTATGAAAGCACATGGAATCATCAAAATGTGTAGTTACAGGTACTGTATAAACAAAAATCTTGGTACAATTTGGAAGAGGAAAAAAAAAAAATGCAAGTGTGCAGGTAAGCAGTATTTTTTTTTTTTTTTTACACCCACATGCTTCAATCACCCTCATGAGTCACAATGCCTTCTTAGTGCCTTAATTTGTTCTAGTATTGTTCATACCCCACTGGGCATATACACAATAAACTTTGTGATATATATCTCCATATTAGAAACATGGCTACTTGCTAGGAGAGCTACTCATGTAAAAGCTATGCAACAGAAAAGTTGACCTACTGCAGTCAATGTTACTGAATTTTCAACTGGAATGTAAACTTGCAACCTCTAATATGAACCAAAAGGTCAAAACATTAAACAAATTGTCTTGATGGTAGCTAGTCATGCCCAACTGCAGACTATACCCACAGTCAAATCACCTAAAACCAATTCAACAAAAAGCTGCTGTGCAAACAATTATTAATTCCAGTGCCAGACAACACTCCCTGACTCTTCAAAAGATGAAGATACTTGCTGTATCTTCATCTTTATTCAATCACTCCATGAAAGTGAAGATCACTGAATCAGTTTAAATTTGTAATTCTTTTGAAAATGACCTTTTGTCACCAGTTACCTTCCTTATTGTACTTATGATTGTAGTCGGCTGCACAAGAAGTTCTACTTAGGCCATGTCTAGTTCTTAGGTAGGATGCAAACCTTACAATTAGCTGCCCAAAATGCATTTCATAATTAGTGGCTTTTTGTGCCTATTATACTAATACATTTAAACTATCTTATTGGTACAATTTAAAGAAAACTCTTATTATTTAATCATATACAGTGGAACCTCGGTTTTCGTGATTAATCTGTTTGAAAAAGTCTGATAAGCCAAATCATAAGAAAACTGATGCAATATTTCCTCCCTCCCTCTCCCCCTCTATCCTCCCTCCCTCCTCCTCCCCCACTCTCTCATTCCTCCCCCCCTCCTCCTCCCCCACTCTCTCTTTCCTCCCTCCCTCCTCCTCCCCCACTCTCTCTTTCCTCCCTCCCTCTCCCCACTCTCTCTTTCCTCCCTCCCTCTCTTTCCTCCTCCCTCTCTCTTTCCTCCCTCCTCCCTCTTTCCTCCCTCCCTCTCCCCACTCTCTCTTTCCTCCCTCCCTCTCCCCCAATCTCTCTTTCCTCCCTCCCTCTCCCCCACTCTCTCTTTCCTCCTCCCTCTCCCCCCACTCTCTCTTTCCTCCCTCCCTTTTCCCCCACTCTCTCTTTCCCCCCCTCCCCCTCCCCCACCTCTCTCTTTCCTCCCTCCTCTCCCCCACTCTCTCTTTCCTCCCTCCCTCTCCCCCCCTCTCTCTTTCCTCCCTCCCTCCCCCACTCTCTCTTTCCTCCCTCCCTCTCCCCCACTCTCTCTTTCCTCCCTCCCTCTCCCCCCACTCTCCCCTTTCCTCCCTCCCTCTCCCCCACTCTCTCTTTCCTCCCCCCTCTCCCCCACTCTCTCTTTCCTCCCTCCCTCCCTCCCCCCCACCCCCTTTTTCCTCCCCCCCTCCCTCTCCCCCCTCTTTCCCCCCTCCCCCCCTCTCTTCCCCACTCTTCCTTTCCTCCCTCCTCTCTCCCCCCCACTCTCTTTTTCCCCCTCCCTCACTCCCTCTCCCACATCTCTCTTTCCCCCCTCCCTCCCCTTCCCCGAGTAAAACCGCCCATGAACATTTGCCCATCTTTGGCTTGTCATCCTGCCATCCACGCATCGGGGTTTCCCCATTTTTTAATTCGACAATCACAAGCCTTCCCTGGTCGCTTAGCTAAGTGGGATGGGGTTCCCCTTTCCCCCATTGGTTGAGAGAGCAAAATGCAAAAAACTTGTGGCTTCCGCCCCCCGAGGGGGGTTTTCCATAAGGACACAATAAACTTTGGATTTTACTCTTACAATGTAGTAAGTACCGTTGTTGTTTTTTAGTGCTTACATGAAAGTTTAGGATTTTTTAATATAAAAAGCCCGTGTGAAAAAATACGGGACCATATTTGAAAAAAGTGCAACAAAAAACGGCGAGTCACTCCCTGTGCCCTCCTTGTTTCATACTCCATTTCAGTAAAAAAAATATTTATAAAAAAATTTTTTATTGTATAAAATTCTTAGTGGTCTAATGTGAACATATTATTTTCTTTCCGACAATGGAAAATTTTTTTATGGGGAAACCCTCCAAAACCCGGTCAAATTTTGTCTCATTTTAGAGGACGTGACTCAAACCGGAGGAGATACCCAGAATTTCTTGATGTGGGTGAGTATTGCCGCTGATGCGAGGGTTCAAGTGATGTGAGTTAGAAAAGGGCCAGCCAAGAAACAAAAAATTAGTCAGCAAAAAAAAGGTTTTTACGACGGGGTACCCGAAAGAACATATTTTGATGAGCTTGCTCTTAAAAGGGAAACCCCCGTGGCCCAGGTTGACTTAACCCTTTCAGGTCACAGGCCCCCCTCCCAGACTTGTTTCCGGGGTTGCCAAATTTTAATAAAAAAATTTTTTTTTTTCTTTTCTGGATCATAATGACACCAAAAGTATGAAATTTGATGTTAAACTTACGGAATTATACTCTCGCGAAGTTAGCGGTCTCGACGATGTTTATGCATCGGCGATTTTGCCCACTTTGAGCCCTATTTTCGGCCAATTCCAGTGTACTAGTCGACAAAACTCATAACTATTTCGCTAGAACTCCATTTTTTCTGTTGATTGAGTACACGAAACCACCCATTTACTGATTTCAACTATCCAATAAAGTGTTCAGAATTTAGCAATTTTGCCAATTTCACACAAATTTCAAAAGATGCTAATTTCCAAATAGGGTCCAGAATAAACAAGACATTCCTGGCACTAAAATAACATTTCCTCTGTTCATTAGTCACGTCCCCACGCCCCTCTTACATTCTTTTGCTTTCCACTTTGAATTTTTATTCTCACAAAAAAACAGAAGATTTACTGTTATGCAGACTACTGCATTGGTGTAGAAATGGTATAAATAATATCAGGGCACTTGTGAAAGAATATTAGACTCACCAGTTGACGTGTATTGGACGCGTAGCATGATTTGTTTACTTTTGAACTTTGGTAAAAATTGAACATTTCTGCTACTTTGTGCTCAATTTCAAGGTACACCTACCATCTGACTTATGACCGAGTTCGGTTCCGAGAAACCGGTCCTAAGTCGAAATGGTCGTAAGTCGAACTTTACTACTGAATATCAACAAAACATTTTTGTAATGACTATTTTGTTTTATTTTGGTATTTCATGTTTTACTTTACTTTTTATGTTGTTAGTACTGTATTTTATACTGTAAGGTTTAGAATAAACACTGTGTACAACACAAATAGTCGTTTATTTCCCAGAAATTTGGCATAAAAAACACAGTCATAAGTCGAGTTGTCGTAAGTCTAGCAGGTCTTAAGTCGGATGGTAGGTGTACTTTTCATTGTAAAACCAATCAAAATCGTCTCAATTTCTGTAATATGTCTTCCATTCTATAAAATGAGACCAGGTAAACTCCAGGAAAACTAGAATACATCATAAATACCATATGAAAATACAGTGCAAAGTCGCTGTTTTAAACCAAAACCACTGTCAAAGTTTTTTTTCTCATTACGCACTGTGTGCTGCAGGATTTTTTTTATACTGCGCACACTAACCACAGACCCATTCTTTCATATGTAGGCCTACCAGCTTTCTCTCACTAGATTTGAGGGTGCTAGAATTTAGGCGTACTAGTACGTCAAAAACCCTGGTGCGTAAACCGTACTAGTATGCCGGAAACCCTGAAAGGGTTAAGAATGACCCTTTGCCTGTATATGAACATGAAAAGCCTCTTGAAATTTGGTCTCCATACGAGTACAGTGGAACCTCTACTTGCGAGTTTAATCTGTTTCCATGACCTTGCTCGCATCTGGATTTGCTCGTTTGCAGAGTCAATTTTCCTCATTTAAATTAATTGAAATGCAATTAATCCGTTCCAGTGGAATTCTGTACTTCAATAATTTCGCTAATATCAACTCTATGGCTTATTTATCTATCTCACTTCATCTAATATGACAAAAAATATAAATAACAGAAACCTGATATATACTCTAAAATGAATAAAATATGTCATTCATGCAGTGGTATGGGCGGTGTCGGCAGTGGACGAGAGTTTGTTTGGACACCAGGCAAAATTCATGAATAATTTTGGTAATATCTATACGGCTTATTTACATATCACAGTTCATCTAATATGACATAACAGACAATATAAATAACATAGAAACACGATATATACTCTAGAATGAATAAAATATGTCAATTTGTAACAGGTGGAGGTGGCCACAACCGCTCCCTCTTTGTTGTGGTAAACACTGCCATCTATTATAATTATTATATGTAGTACATTATTATATATGTATTATTATTATACATATATTATAATTATTATTATTGTATTGTTTTATTATTATTATTACATATTATTATACATATTGTTATTATTCATATTATACATATTATTATCATTATTATTATTATTATAAATTATTTGTAATTTTTATTCATAAAAAAAATATAAGATTTACTGTTATTCCTTATTGCAATAATTGTATAAATATGTCAACCCATTCACGACTGCATATTGGAATGGACAGTGACGTCATTTGTTTACAATGAAACGGCCAAGCAATGGACGATTTCTCCTAGGTTGAGCTCTATTTCAAGGTACTTTTTGTCGTGAAAGCAATCAAAATCATATCTATTTCTGTAATTTATCTTCCATTCTATCAAATGAGACCAAAAAAATG